ATCTCGGTTTACATTGTTCAGGGCAGATGGCAGACAGCGTGTGTGGCGTTGTGTGGGTGAGCGCTTTGTTGATGTCAATGTTGTGGATCGAGTGGCCCATGGTGGTGGTGGGGTTATGGTATGGTCAGGCATCTGTTATGGACGAAGAACACAGGTGCATTTTATTGATGGCATTTTGAATGCACAGAGATACTGTGATGAGATCATGAGGCCCATTGTTGTGCCGTACATCATGAACATCACCTCATGTTTCAGCAAGATAATGCACGGCCCCATGTTGCAAGGATCTGTACACAATCCTTGGAAGCTGAAAATGTCCCAGTTCTTGCATGGCCAGCATACTCACCGGACATGTCACCCATTGAGCATGTTTGGGATGTGCTTGACCGGCGTATATGACAGTGTGTACCAGTTCCCACTAATATCCAACAACTTCGTACAGCCATTGAAGAGGAGTGGACTAACATTCCACAGGTTACAATTGACAATCTGATAAACTCTATGCGAAGAAGATGCGTTGCACTAGCCTGGCAAGCCAGACTAAATAAATGTATTTTTTAGTCTGGCCACACTCCATTGACGGCTCTCGGTTGTGGGGCGGGTTCTACCATTGTCTTTCAAATGATCTCCGCATTCCACTGGACAATGAATGTCACATACTCTTGTTTCACTCTGTTGCATCATCCCACCCAACAGGCATATAGAGTGTCCTGATTGGCCCACAAAGCGGATAAAGCTCTGTGATTTGTTCACTAAGCAGATAGAGCACTATGATTGGCCCACCATTATGGACCAATCACAGCTCTTTATGTGTTTGAAACCCCTCTAGAGAGCTGTGATTGGCTAGCCAGAGTCCTGGTAGGAGCTGTGGAGGTTCCAATGGAGCATGCCTAGACCAAACTTTGCAAAGCAAGAATTTGGTCTAGTTCACTAGGCTAGTGTTGCACTGCATGAGGCAAATGGTGGTCACACCAGATACTGACAGTTTCTGAGTCCCCAGACCCCCAATAAAACAAAAAACTGCACATTCCAGGGTGGACTTTTATTGTGGGCAGTCTAAGGTACACCTGTGCACTACTCATGATGTCAGATCAGCATCTTGATGTGGCACACCTGAGAGGTGGGATGGATTATCTCAGCAAAGCACAGGTGCTCACTATCACACATTTAGACTGATTTGTGAACAATGTTTGAGAGAAATGGTGATATTGTGTATCTGGAATGAATTTTAGACCTTTAAGTCCATCTTATGAGAAATGGGAGCAAAAACAAAAGTGTTGCGTTTATATTTTAGTTCAGTGTAAATTTAAACAAATATAAAAAAACACAAACTGTCAAAAAGGCAATCGAAATAAAAAAGTTCAATAATTAAAAACTGTTTAACACAGAGTAGTTTCCTGCTCCTCCCTGTACTGGTTGAATGCATAATTACAACAGTCGTAAACAACCCTGCTGCCGCCTGCTGTAGCTAACGCTAACAACGAGCTAAATTTAATGTGAGCCAACTAATACTAACATAATCCACAAAGTAAAATGTTCTACACTGTTGAACAGAAAATATTATTACTTACAAGTCCAGTAGCAACAAGGTCAACACCAGTCCGTGATTTTGTACCCTCCTTTTAGCTCCCTCAAACTAGTGTAGGACGTGTCAATGTTCGCTCTGGCTTTAGCTCTTTGTTTCACCTCCAAAGACATTACTTTTAATTTTACTTCCAGGCTCCGCCTTTGATGCCAACAAACCAGGTCATAAAACAAAACCATAAGCTCCATCACTCAGCTGTAGGTTTTCAGAGCAACTGTAAGCCATCTGCAAGTCTAGACCAGAACCCAGAGATCAAGACTTGAGTTGACTTGGGCTCAAGTTGATCTTAAATGGCCAAACAAAAGACTCGTGATTTGACTTGTACTCACCCTAAAGACTCTAGACTTGACTCATGGACTCAAGCAGAAGATTTAAAGAGATTTTTTATTGTTTTTGTGAAGAATCAATCCCTTGTGGATTGTCTTGGTACAAGAACACTTCTACTGTCATTCCTTCTGTTATGATGTATTTTTTTTTATTAGTGACATGTTTTATCAAGAAGCATCAGTAGCACAGGTTTAAGAAGAGTTTTCATCCATGCGGATAAACTCATTTCTACAAGGAAAAAAATAAGGATTAACTCGTGTTTTAATATTTATAACATATCAGCTTAGTTACTGAAGTAGTGTTAAACACATCTACTGTTTGCCTAATTGTTTTTGGGGCTCGATAACGATAAATGGACGATAGCATAGCATAGCGTAGTTTATTTATATAGCACATTTTAAACGCAGCATGGGAGCTGTCCAAAGTGCAACACAGGCTAAAACAATAAAACACTAAAACGAGTCACTGTCTAAAAGCCTAAGCGTAAAAGTGGGTCTTTAAACGAGATTTATAAACCGCCAGAGATGGAGCCTGCCTAACTCCAATGGGCAATGAGTTCCATAGCTTTGGGGCAGCATGGACAAATGCTCATTCACCCCGCGATTTGAATCGCATCCGCGGCGTGCAGAGCAGCAAAAGGTCAGCTGACCTCAATGTGCACGTGGGCACATATGGAGTGAGCAGGTCAGAGAGATAGGGAGGTGCCAGGTCATTGAGAGCTTTAAATACAAAGGTCAGTAACTTAAACTGCACTCTAAAAATGACAGGGAGCCAGTGAAGATGTGCCAGGACAGGGGTAATATGGCTACGTCGGTGTGTACTCATCAAGAACCTGGCAGCAGCGTTCTGGACGACCTGCAGCCGATTCAGGGCGGATACCAGAACACCAACGAGGAGGGCGTTTGCGTAGTCCAAGCGAGAGGTAATGAAGGCATGGATGACTGACTCCAAATGCCTCCGTTTCAGGATTCGTCTGAGGCGAGTAAGGCGGTGAAGCTGATAAAAGCAAGACCTCACTACAGAGTTTATCTGTGGAGCCATTGTGAGTCCAGCATCCAGCTGGACCCCGAGACTTGTCACACAGTGTTTGAGGTTGAGGGTTAAAAGGCCACAAACAGGGTGAGAGCCATGGTGGTTGCGGGGGTCAAGAACAATAAACTCAGACTTCTTTTTGTTTAACTTTAAGAAGTTGGGTGCCAGCAAGCCCTTCACGTCATCTAAACATGCAACCAATTTCGAGCCCGCATTCTTCTCATCCATTTCTACGTATAGTTGACAGTCATCAGCGTAAATGTGATGGCTCAGGCCATGCTGATTCAGGATATTGCCCAGAGGCAGAAGGTAGATAGAAAACGGCAATGGCCCAAGAACAGAACCTTGTGGCACCCCCCAAGGCAGTGAAAGACAGGAGGATGCACAGTCACCAATCTGTACAGAGATGGAACGGTTTGATAGGTAGGAGCGGAAACATTTATGCGCCACCCCGTCACCCCAACCCAAGACCCAAGCCGATCCAGTAAAATATGGTGATCGACCGTATCAAAAGCCGCTGAAAGGTCTAGCTGGAGCAGCACTACCCTAGACCCAGAGTCAGATGCCACCAGAATGTCATTTAGCACCCTAATCAAAGCAGACTCAGTGCTATGGTGTGGTCTAACTACAGGTATGCACTGAAATAAAAGTTGTCCACTAGATGGGGCTCTCACGTGTATTACAGTGAGTCACAATTTTTACGTGACTCAAGATGATACAGCTTCTTAGTGGCATGAACGTTGCCAACCTACAAACATATTTTCATATTTTTTTATCAGATTTATTGACATGGAAATAATTATCTCATTAAGAGTCAGAAATTTTGATAAAGAAAAAAGTTTGATATATTGCCCAGCCCCACTCGGAACCATGTGTGAGACTGATGATGTCAAACTGAAGATGACTATCGAGCTCCTTCTGCTAAAGATGTTCTGTTGGGTCATCAGAAGGACTTTACAAACTGATTCTGGAAAGTGGTTGTTTTGAGCAAAATATGATTATATAATGTTTTGTGATGATTTCTTTTGTTCGGATAAACTCACTCAACTGCTACCATGTCTTTTTTTCTATCTTTCTTATGACTGTGCGGATATTTAGTGTGTGCTATCTCTAAAAACCAAAATAACCTAAAAATGCAAACTTTAGAAACCTGAACATGTGTTTGACTCCAGGTCTGACAGAACAGATAATTGGTTCATCTTCATCTGATGAGTTAATGTGTGAAGACTGAGAATGAGCTATTAGCAGCTTTGTTTCATAATTCTCCTTGCTAATATGGATCTGTTTCCAAGCAGAACCACTGCAGAGCCATTAGAACTGTAATGTTGGGACTAACATTCACACACAGAGCAGAATAAGAGGCAATCAGCTGCAGCAGAGTAAAGCACGGAGTCGTGCTGAGCTGCGTGCTCAACAATCAGGTGAAGCCAGAGAGTCTCGGGACGCTGCAGGTGTGTTTCCTGCTGTTGTGCTCGCTGCTGTTCGCAGGATAATGAGTGTGTAAGGAGCTGCAGGAAAATAAGAACAGCAGTTTGTGGCACGACCCAATGACAAACCCAGCACTGATTAAACGACCCATTAGAACTCAAAGAGGTGCAAATAAAAACTTTAATTTTAGTATCAACGAGGGAGTCCAGGCTGGTTCATTAAAATACTTTAAATCTGTGTTTCTTTAGAGCAGGAATGAGAAGCATCATACTCCAAACATGTTCATTTGTTTATTTGTTTCTAATCACTGAAACTAACTGCAGCAAGTCATAAAAACACCAGTTTTAACTTGAATCTGCGCCTCAGGCCAGCTTTCTAATTATGGTATTGTTTTGTCTTTTTTATTTCATTGGGTTTCGTTGATTTCTTCTTAACTGGTTATTTATGTTAAATATTTACACAGAAATACAGAACACAGATCTTCAAACTCCTTACTTTTCTGTTACTGCCAATTTTATTCACTGACTTTGTAATTTCACAAACTGAAAGCATGTGAGTGCATCCCTCACTCCTTTTCTGTTGCTGACAAACATCAGTACTTTTAACTTCTCTCCATCTTTCTTCCCAGACGCTTCCCAGGCAGTATGACCCAACAGATGCAAAACCTGCAGCTGTCCCAGACCAGGAAATGTCCTGGAGGGCCAGCCTCACCCAGCGCTGCCAAGCGTCTCTACCGGAACCTGTCGGAGAAGCTACGAGGAAGCACCTCCTCCTTTGAAGATGCCTACTTCTTTGGAAAAACAGATCGCCTCCGAAAAGCCTCGGTGAGAAAGAAAGAAAACAATATTTTAAATAGCGCCTCTCAAGATAAAAATCATGAGGCCCTTCACAAGAACAAACATAAAAAGATTTAAAAATATCATAAAATGTGAGAAATAAAAGTTCATGGTTCAGATCATAGCACGCTAGCCAACAACTAAACACATAGCTAGAAAACACATCTCAGTATATAGTTATTAAAAAGGGGAAGTGAAGGTGCTGGAACCAGTATCTGAGCCCATCTATACTCGCGTGCAAGCAGGTGTTTTCAAGCATTGAGTAACCAATTAAACGCTGAGTCTGTTAGAAACGTGAGTATTTGAACAAACAGTACCAAGATAAGGACTTCATGAATCAACGGGAGTCAACAACAGCTGAAACAATCTGACGTACACTCTTTATTGGGTACACCTGTCCAACTGCTCGTTAACGCAACTTACTAATCAGCCAATCACTTAGTGGCAACTCAATGCATTCAGGCATGTTTACATGGTCAAGACAATCCTCTGCAGTTCAAAGCGAGCTTCAGAAAGGGGGAAAAATGTGATTTAATTGACTTTGAATGTAGAATGATTGTTGGTGCCTGGCGGGCTGGTCTGAGTAATTCAGAAAGTGCTGATCTTCTCTGATTGACACAACCAACACTAGGGTTTACAGACAGGTCCGAAAAAGAGAAAACGTCCAGTAAGCGGCAGTTCTGTGGGCAACGATGTCTTGTTGATGCCAAAGGTCAGAGAAGAACGGCCAGACAGGTGTTTGAGCTGATAGAAAAGTAACAATAACTCAAATAACCACCCGTTACAACCAAGGTATGCAGAAGAGCATCTCTGAATGCACAACATGTCGAACCTTGAGGCAGATGAGCTACAACAGCAGAAGACCAGACTGGGTGCCACTCCTGTCAGCTAAGAACAGGAAACTGAGACTACAATTCCCACAGACTCATCTAAATTGGACAACAGAAGATTGGGAAAATGTTGCCTGGTCTGATGAGTCTCAATTTCTGCTGCAACATTCAGATGGTAGGGTCAGAATTTGGCATCAACAACATGAAAGCATGGCTCCATCCTGCCTTGTAGCCACAGTTCAGGCTGCTGGTGGTGGTGGTGGTGTAATGATGTGGGGGACATTTTTAGGCACACTTCGGGCCCCTTAGTACTAATTGATCACCGTTGCAACACCACAGCCTAGCTGAGTATTGTTGCTGACGATCTTCTGATGGCTACTTCCAGCAGGAAAATGCTCCATGTCATAAAGCTCGAATCATCTCAGACTGGTTTCTTAAGCATGACGATGAGTTCACTGTACTCAAATGGCCTCCACGGTCACCAGATCTCAATCCAATAGAGCACCTTTGGGATGTGGTGGAACAGAAGATTCAAGTCATAGCCAACAAATCTGCAGCAACTGCGCGTTGCTGTGATGTCAATTAGAGCTGAGGAAAATAGTCAAATAATCGATGCTTCAGGATGCGGACATAAACGATTCTGCATCGTAGAAGAGTTCACCATAATTGATTATAGTGGAATGTAGTTTTGTTTTTTTAACGGCGGCACCAGCGCAGCATCCAAAGCTGTCAGAGTGAGTGTCCTCCACATTTACCAAGTATTGTTTAGCCTTAATGTGGTAGTGCAGGGCTGAGCGCTGGTGTTGTAACCTGAGACCAAACCGGAACCGAATCAGCCCGACAGGTTCTGTTGGATTTGGGCCGTGAATTATGTTAATTGACCGGGTTGTCACGCGGCCCGCTCCACTCACTCACACAGCGACTGAGGCCTAGTCCACACGTAGCCGGGGTTTTTTAAAAACGAATATCCGCCCCACCAAAAACTTGCATCCACACCACCGCGTTTTAAAAACAAACTCTGTCCACACGTACCCGGATAAATACGTTGTTAAGGACATGCCAGACCTGTAGGCGGCAGTACTTCCCCCATTCTTAACCTCGTCCTTCGTCTGTGGACTTCCGCAAGGAGCGGTAATTCCGCTTGCAAAAACAAACAAGCAGAAAGCGCTTGGACAATTGATGGATCGGGTAGTGACAGAGCGCAGCTCTGAAGGCTTCCAAGATGCCGGCTAGTGTAAACACAGGTCGCACACGTGATGTCAGCATTTTTTTGTCGCGGAAAGTGACGTTGCGGACCTTAAAACTCCGGTTTTGTCTGTCCACACGCAGACACCCAAAACGGAGAAAACGCAGATCTTCACTTTGGCCGGAGTTTTTAAAAAGATCCGTTTTCGTGTGAAAAAACTCAGTTTTCGTGTGGATGACAGGCCAAAACGTAGGAAAATATCTACGTTTTGGCAGATCCCCGGCTACGTGTGGACAGGGCCTGAGAGAAAGAGAGAGAGACACTGTCTGCTCACACAAGAGAGAGGATCGGAGGACGCTCCTCCAAACACGCATTATTATTTTCATAATTTCATTATTGTTTCTCCTGGAAGCGCTAAGTCAGACCGAGTGTTGGGATTGTCAGGAGATCCGGTCTTGGGGAGAGGGCGGGGTCAGTAATAGCGGCAGCAGCGTAATCATCTGTCTCTTTTATTGAGGGACACGGAGAAGTTAAAAGGAGAGAGAAATAGAAGATAGAAGTTTTTGTTCCACTTGATTCTTTTGTTTCATGATGATAAACTGATGTTAAATTCAGCTTAAAGATAAGCTGGGAGGAAGCTTTGGTTCATTTTAGTGTAATGAATTTGAAAAAAAACTGTCATTTCATTCTGTTACATTAGGTTACAGGAGGTCTTGCTTCCTGTCTGCTCCTCCAAAGACAGCATGGACATGAGGGTTACATGGTGAGGACAGGTTAGCGGAGAAGTTTGTAGTTAGCTGGTTAGTGAAGGACTATCTGCTGGGTAATTTAATCCTAATCCAGCCCACAGCCTTCTGCTGGTGTTATTTTCAGAAAGAAAAAAAAACACGCATCTTAAATATTATTGGAAGTGTAGAATTTGTTTTATGTTTTATTATTTTCTGCATCAAACAGAACTTAATTCATTCTCCAACATTTCATATATGAGACCACTGGGTTCAAATAAAATAACAAACTAAGTCAAACATTTCATTTGGTGTTATTTCTGACACCCTTGAACTGCGGCATAAATATTTGACTCTGAAGCTGCTCAGAGGCATTAAACACTCATATGAACCCATTATGTATTTTATTATTGCATTATGTGTCCTGTAGGTTTTCAGTATTTTTTCAGATGTTGTGAGTTTTTGCAAAGCGTGTTTTTCTCAGCCTGAGGCGTGGTGCTGAATGAGGAAACAGATGTTTTTACTTTATTAAATCTTCTTAAATGTTTTGTCCTAACCTGTTGTGAATGGAGAGCTTTTGGCAGGGTGTGTCAATGATGTTTTTGATAAAAAAAAAATCAAAAAATCAAAATAAAAAGTTATTATCTGACATCTTCTATTTATCGATGAAGACAAATTAATCTGAAATAATCGTGATGCATCGGGATATCGAATCAAATTGAATCGTTGACCCAATAATCGTAATCGAATCGGGAGATAAGTGAAGATTCACACCTCTAATGTCAATTTGGCCCTAAATCTCAGGAATGTTTTCCAGTACTTTGTTGAATTTATGCCATGAAGAATTAAGGCAGCTCTGAAAGCAAAAGGGGGTCCAACCTGATACTAGCAAGGTGTACCCAATAAAGTGGACAGTGAATGTATATTTGTTTTAGTCAGACAAGTGTAGTTTACATGGAGATGGTGTACTGAAGCCAGCCACCAGGGGGAGTTTCTATTTGGATAAAGTTGCTGTCCTTTTCATTTGTTGAAGACCCGTCTTCTCAAAATTTGAATTAATATTTCACTGATTCACTCATGTTTAAAAAGGGTAAAACATACTTTATAGCTTTACTCATTAAAGCTGCTATAACAATTTTGGAAAACAAATTAGTTTAAAACATTTTTCCATGCTTTTTAACAATGTTATAACATATTATAGCTATAAATATTTTGTGGAGATAAAATAACAGAAAAGATATTAAAGTAGTTCCCTCGCGTTTGTCTAAAACATCCACCAATCACACATTCAGAACAAAACGGTGACTTTTGGACCATCCAGTTGTCTGTCTCGCCAAACCACCACACTTCTCTGGGTCCTCCATACACTACTCACTCGCGTATTTAGAAACATAACACCGCTGATGTGAGAGGTTATCTGCTCAGTAATATCAGAGAAGGAGGAACAGCCGGCTGCTACCACATCAATTTTAGGACAAACTAGCAGAGTCCCAAAAAGAAAAACTCCACGGACAACAAAAGACGTTTAGATCTAGAAAACAGCAACTGGTGGTTAGCACTCTAGTTTTGTCTGGCATCGCAGTTTTCCAGTTCAGGCAGAATCGTCTTAAGCAAAACACCTGAGGGGATGGGTGCGTGTTCCATCTCTGAGTGCGTTCAAAACCTAGCTTGTTTGTAGATTCGTTATAACAGCTTTAGAGAACTGTAAATTTAATTTTGTCCCAGTGAGTTAATCAGGTTTCTTTTTGCTTATGAAGATCTTTGTTTAGAGATGTTAAACATGTATTGTTGCATTAGTGACCCCATGTTAATGATGAACATACATCAGCTGCGAAAAAGCCAGAGTTTTTCAGTTGGACCTTGTTTAGACATTGTTTGAACATTAATGAAATCGATTGAAAACTGTTTAGATTCTGGTTGAACATTGTTTAGAACTCTTTAGGATATCATTAGAACTATTTTGGACAGCGTTTTGATTTTCTATGGAACTCATCTGGGCATGGTTCGTAACTCAACATCGTTCGGAATCGGGTGTAGAGGAAGAGGCAGCGTTAGTGGTAGTCCAGAAGGTAGAGCAGGTTGTCCAGTATTTGGAGGGTTGTGGGATCGATCCCAGCAGAGAATGTTGTTGTCATGTCCTTGGGCAAGACACTTAACCCACCTTGCCTGCTGGAGGTCACAGTGGGGTGCTGCTCCCTGGATCCGACCCAGATATCCGCTCCCCTGGCCCGCTGGGATGGTTTGAAACACAACCACCCTCTCGCCGGGGGTCAGGACTGGTAGCGCCTGTACTCAGCAGCCTTACCTTTGTCAGTGCGCCCCAGGGCAGCTGTGGCAACGATGTAGCTCATCACCACCACTGTGTAAAAGTATGTGTGAATGGGTAAATGATGCACTGTGGTGTAGAGTGCTTTGGAGTCATCTGACACTGAAAGCCACAATACGAGTACGGGTCATTTATCATTATCATAACATTATTCTGACTTGCTCTGGACTTTTAGACCACTTTCAGAGGCCATTTGAACTTTCCATGGAAGCCATTTAAGGCTGTTGAGCTGCTCAGCTCTCAGACTGAAGGATCAATAAAATTCTTGTTTGCTGCTTCAGTAACTGTGTTAAAGGTGATTTCTTCAGAGCGTGAATTATCATTTGTCACAACTTTAATTAAATCTGTGAGCCATTGCCTTGGGTTGTTTGTCATCTCATCATGAACACTCACTCTAGTTCTCTGAGCTGATCTCAGATCATATCAGCGGTGCATAGCGAGGGTTGTACGGTATTTTTCAACGGCACTTTGGCTCGTTGTCTGTAAAGCAGCTCGTCTCTCTTCTAAGCTGCCATCATCATGTCCTTCCTGATGCCCTGTGAAACATTTGGTCTCTGGGACTCATCGTGTGTGGCAGGTCAGGCGTGTGTGGGTGTTGAACGCCATCCAGAACACTCTGCCAGTCTGCTGACATTTACAGACCATCCACAACAGCAGACATGAAAGGGGGATGCAGACGGAGGAGGCGGTAAGCAGAGGATCAATACACCGCTCTTCATATACAACACTGACATTTTACACTCGGAGTGTTCAGACTGTTAACAACACATCTTCTGGACTCATCCTGCCGCAGAATAATAGGCCAAAACACTCTGTGTGAGACCAACGTGTTACTGGAAGCATCCAGCAGCAGAACAAGCACAGACATCAGCAGATTTAACTCCAAAAGTTCTCCTTTCATTAAAATCAGCTTTTGTTTTTGTTAGTGTTTTCTTAGCATTTATTTAAAATTAGTCACTGAAGAGTTTCTCAAATTTCGAAAAAGCTTGAGCGTACACTTCCTAATGTCTTTTGATACGTTTTTTTTTTTTTTTTCAGAGAAACAGGAACTGGACTGTGACAGAGTGGAAAAGCAGCCATAACATTAACAGCTTCAATGCCTTTTGAAATTCAAATAGTGTTTAGCTTAAAAGCTGCATTCAAACTGCAAAATTTAAAATCAGAAAAAAAAATCTGGTGGACAAAACCACTAAATTATGAACCTTGAATGTTTGTTGTTTCTTGTTTTATTAAAACTTCTTAGATTTCATCTCTTCAGACTGTTGGTGGAAAGTTTCTCTTTTCTGACACAAACATAATCGATTTTGTTCCTGCTTTTAGACGATGCAGGGCAGCGAGTGCATCTTTGAGGCAGTGGAACAGCAGGACCTGGACACCGTGCAGATCCTCCTGTACCAGTTCTCAGCTGAAGAGCTGGACCTTAACACACCAAACAGCCAAGGCCTGACACCACTTGACATCGCCATCATGACCAACAACTCTCCCATTGCTAAGCTGCTGCTGAAAGCTGGCGGGAAGGAGAGTCCTCACTGTGAGTATGTTGTCACCACCACCATTGGTCCACTCAAACTTAAGACTCTAACCATCAAAAATAAAGAGAAAACATGCTCATCTTCTTTGTTTTGAGGAATCTGTTGATCATCTCCACCAGCCATCCTGGTGTATGAAGCTATAGGTCCATGAATAGGATACTGAGTCAAATTGTTGATTCCAGAACCAGCCCTGATCCAAAAACAATATATATTTGGTATTCTGGTATACCAACGCTTGATTTTGCGTAGTCTGAAAGTTTGCAGAATTCTTTAGACTTCTCAGAACTCCTGGTGTTCTGGCGGGAGAGTTTGGTTTGTTTGTGCGCATGTGTGCAGTGGAGCTGGAGGCCTCTACACTGTAAGCAGGACCGCCTGTTTGACCCCGCCACACACACGACTTCAAACTGCTTTAACAAGGTTTGTCATTTAATAGTTTAACTTTCCCAGTGACGCGTGTAATGCAGAAGCCATTACAGCCAAGTGATTTATTGTGCTGGAAGGGAGGGGGGCATATAAGCCCCCAGGGCCATGCATCGTTCTTGGTGCAGTGGGATAACCCCATCCCTCTAAACAAACACAGAGCTAACAGTGCTGCTGTTTTACCCTGATTGGGGTGCACAGTCCCGTTTGTGTCATTCCTCAAGTGTCCAGTAAATCAGCCAGCTGGGGCCTAGCACCACTCCCAGTGTGTTTGCGTCTGTTACAGGTCCCATGAAACAGTTACCAGATGAGCGTGTGTTTCTCAGAGTTAACAAGAAAACTGGTATTTGGGAAAACAAAGTACAGTACTGTGATGAGGAAAGGGATTACTTGGACTCATCTCATCAAAAACAGTTTGCTCTGAAACTCAAGTCTTTGGGATTGCTGGGACTCTCTTCTTTACTGTAATTGCTCCAAGTAAGAGAAAGAATGTCACTTCTTGTTAACCCTCTTTTTTAACACATGTACGTGGTTTACCAAAAGGTATCTTCCCTGTACCTTCAGGTTGGCCAACAGCCCAATAGCACCGCACACTACCCGTTGTATTTGGAGCTCTATCATAAGTGTTAGATGGCACCACACCTGGAGACTCCAAAGTTCTATTAGATGACTTCAAAGTCAATATGGGCAATGATAGTGTGATCTAGATGAGTGTGTTAAGGAAGAACCTCCCACCCAATCTAAACCCAAGTATATTTTTGCTGAGACTTCAGTGCAAGTTGCTGTTTGGCCATCATGCACACTATGATTGCACTTGATGATGCTCTTTGCTCACTTGGTTCTGGGGCAGCTTAAGTTGTAGGCTAATGATTGGCATTGTAGCATCGAACCTACAGCTGTATGTGTTTGACACTGTTGTGCAGAAAAAAGCAGAGCTGTGAACTGGTCATCACCTGGTGGTGTGTTGGTTCACATGACAGGAAAAGACATTATGCAGACCTGGTAGGCCCAAATGTAGAGGGAACAGTGCAGAACAATGGATCTGAGTGGGCATTGTTCTGCAAGCCACAACTGCAAGTTTGCTGGAGCCAGCTGTGGCAGCAATTCCTGAGGGACATCAAAGGTTAGGGTAGACATCATGTCGTGTTCGATACCACTATCCTTTCAGCGTGGCTAAAAATGACCATGATAAAGGTCAAGAGGAAGAATTTGGTTTATGCATTGTGCTACTGATATATGTTAATAGTTGAATCTGAAAAAAAACTCCTGAAGTTTGTGAAATTTCATTCTATTTGCAATAACAAAGCTAAATGGTCAAAAAGTGAAGTGCCCACAAATGGCCAGAATAGAGCCCTGGAGGTTAATAAGGAGACATAAGCCCCTTTTACATCTCGGTCAGGGCCGGTCTGGTCTTGGTTGGGCCAGCCCGTCCCTGTGTGGCCACCTTTTGTTAACACATCCTACTCAGGGTGTCTCCAGGCATGTGGGCGGGTCGAAAGTGGTGCGGGAAATCCCGTGGCGTCCTTCCTAAGCGCCACAAGTTAGTAAATAAAAGTAAGGGTGAGCAATGTCGCTTTTGGGGACTCTGACATGAAGCACACAGCTTCCCACTGTCTCACTGAACAGTGGTGCTGCTGTGGGCTCCTCTCACAGCAGACAGTTAGTCCTCATGCTCCCACGGTCGGTCCGAGCTGCAGTCACAGAAGATGTTTACCTCACTGCATCCGATTTGATAATGAATCGTACGTGCTGGAAACCACCACTGGCTGATTTTACTCGACAATCAGAGGCTCCCACTTGTAGGTAGGGGTGAACTTCAGCCAGCCAATCAGTCTTTAGTGGGTGTGGATGGTTGCCTCAGCACCCAAATGGCTGCCGGGGAGCAGGTTCGATAAAATAGATAACCCAGATGTAAACACAATTACCCTACCAGAGCTAGACAGGGTTGACCCCGATGTAAATGCATCATTGCTGAGCATGGCTGATCTTTGGGTCTTCAAAAGCAGCAGATGGGTACCAGAGGGTCAGTGGCAGTTACTACAGTTACCTCAGGCACTGGAGACATTTGGTTTACGATTACATGCAGCCCCAAAGTTTCTGGTCAACCATCTGGAGCCTCAAAGGTCAGTAACTCCCACCGTTTACAAAGGGGATGTGGAGTTGTTGATAATTGAGTATATAGTTGAGCAGTGGAGGGCATAATTTGAGAAGCTCCTCAATCCCACCAACACGTTTCCATGAGGAACCAGAGCCTTTAGAACTGGGGATTAATCAACCAGATCATGACTACGTTAAAAACATAGAAAATCTATGGGGTATTGTGAAGCGGAGGATGCAATACGCTAGACCCAACAATGCAGAGGAGCTGAAGACGACTATCAGAGCAACCTGGGCTCTCATAACACCTGAGCAGTGCCACAGACTGATCGAGTCCATGCCACGCCGCATTACTGCAGTTATTGAGGCAAAAGGAGCCCCGACTAAGTATTGAGTGCTATACATGCACATTCTTTTCATGTTCATTCTTTTCAGTTGGCCAACATTAGAGAAACAAACATTTTTTCATTGGCCTTTAGAATATTCTAATTTTCTGAGATACCAGATTTGATGTTTTCATTGGTTGTCACCTATAAATATCAAATTTAAATGTAATGAACATTGGAAATACATTGGTCTGTGTGCATTGCATGAATATAATGTACAAGTTTCACGTTTTGAATGGAATTACTGAAATATTTTCAACCTTTTGATGATATTCTAATTTACTGGCCAGCACCTGTAGAGGGATCACATACCTCCACTTCCTCAGGTCATATAGGTCTACTCCGAGGTACTGGAGAAGACAGTAGCTTTAAAAGGTAACATTATTCTTAAAATGCAGGTGTGACATTGCTTTGAGATTCTTCCAGCGACATATTTACAATCCTTTTACCAGATTTTAAAAGTGTGTCAGTGATGGAGACCGAAAGGTGTGAAAGCAAAAAAGGGCAAATTAATCTACTGCAGAAAGAAACAACCTGATTCTAAATGTCATCCTAATCCTGATTCGCATCCAGCACTTCACCTGAGCATCAACAATGAAACGAGCGAGGAAACAGAGATGTTTCAGAAAACCTGAATAAATGCTCAGACATGAAGGTGATGGTTTAATTCTAACTCACACTGAGGTTTCATTAAAGTCTTCAGTCGTCTGCGTGTTGATCTGCTGGCCATGTGATCACTCACAGGGCCCTTGCTACGATAGAGGCAGAATGACAGTGGTGTTTTTAGCTGCTTCTCACACACAGCAGACTTTTTAACTAGCTACTAGCTGATGTTGGGCTGTAAATGAAGCCTTCAGGTTTACACACATCTGCTGTTGCTGGTGGAACGCTCAGATTGGAGATAAGGTGAGGAGCTCCATTATACAAGAGGAGCTCAGAGTTGAGCTGCTGCTGCTGCTCCTCGTGGAAAAGTCAGGTTATGTGGTACAGGTACCTGATCAAAATGCCTCCTGGTCACCTCCCTCTGGGGGTTTCTAGTCACTGGCAGTAGCATCTGTGTTTCAGCACATTCTTTGCATTGGTGGCTAAGAAGTACCTTATGTACAAATATAACACTAATAAAAGAAAAGCGTTACATTCCTGGATTTGATGGCTGGATTGTTTTTTTCTTTTCTCTGTATAACGTTTGAGTTCATTAAGAACAGAATCTGAGTCGCTCTTTCTTTGTTCAGGTTTCAGGCGTGGTGCTCACAAGTGCTTTTTAGTGAAAGTCAGTGAGGGTTTGTGGATCAATTTACCAAGAAAATTGAATCAAACATAACAAATACCTACATAAGGCATTTACTTTAGATTGTACTTTAAAATACAAAATGAATAAAAATTAATTAAAATAGACATTTACCTGCATTTTTATTGCACCGTAGTAAAGAGCTGTCTGCATCAACAGCCTATGTTGTAGGACACCATTTTGGAATTTCTGTCCAGAGAGACACACAGAGACACTTTAGGGCCTTACATGGACAAGCACCATCATACATTGGTGATCTTCTCAGTCTCCCCCAGCAGGTCCCTGAGGTCCAGTGATCAAAGCCTACTGGTTGTGCAGCACCAGGCTAAAGACCAAAGGTTACAGATCATCTGCTGCTGTGGCCCCCAGACTCTGGAACTCTCTCTCCCTGAGCCTGAGATCAGTGGACTCAGTGGTCTCCTTTAAAAAGCAGCTGAAAGCTCACCTGTTCAAGCTGGCTTTGGCATGATCTTCATCACCACCCTCTTACTCCGCCTTTCACGGGATCCACTTATTTCGTTCTTTCCTATTCATTTTCTCTCTCCCTTACATTTTTTTCTTTTCACCTCAAACTTATTTTCAATCATTTTTAAAATCCTTTTATACTTAAATCTTTTATTGTGAAGCGCCTCATGATTTTTATCTTGAGAGGCGCTATATAAAAGATCGTCTTCACCCAAAGGGCCACATCTGGCCCACAAGCTGCTCTTTTGACACCCCTGAGAGAGTTTAGTGATGTGTCTAAAAGGTATTTTCTTGTGGAAGATTGGAGGGTTTGTTTAGCTTGAGGATAAACAAGAACATCATCAGCAAAGACGTTGATGTTTGCTTTTCTCTTCCTGCCTTGCATAAATGAGGTAACAAAATGTAGGTTATTTCCACAAAACCAGTTCATTTTATTTACTGAAGATGATAAATTACCACATGGCCTGAACGCATAATTTGTATATTGGTACATCAACTTCTTGTGGTTGAAATTCTAAAATTTCAACAATTACAAAACAAAATAAAATAATAAAATAAAAGTTTGTCCCAGGTTACGGTATATCCACAATATTGTGGCTGATGGTGAATCCGTTCTGATTCGTCTACATCTCTGAACAGTTTGAACACAAAGTTAAACTCCTGCAGATGAATATGTAACAGAGCATCACTTTGTTTCCACTACTCGGGCAATAACTTGGGATTTTGTTGCAGTTGTAAGCGTGGAGAGTCGGGAAGCTCACCTGAGTGCTCTGGTGGTGGAGGCGGAGCATCGAGCGGCAGACCTGGCAGCTCAGGCTCAGAGGGATGGCCTCTCGCTCGAAGCCTGCCACAAGGACAAACAGCTGAGGACCTGGGAGTGGAGGAGCAAGCTGTACAAACGTATGAAGACAGGCTTCCAGCACGCACGTGAGTCGACGCAACAATATCATCAGAGGGGCTCACCTATAACACAATAACAGCCAACGATTTGGGCCTTTGATGTTTCAGATTCTTCACATTCAGAAACATTTTGAGGTTTCTACTCACTCAAGGAGATTTCTCACTTGGTTTAGTTCTCTTCAAAAATTTCACACACACCTCACACCTTGACACGTTTGAGAAGAGAAGCAGATTTGACTCTTGTAGGAACCAAATAAGTAAGGCTTTTACTTCAGTGATGTGTGCAATCTTGATTGGCACGCTCAGTGAGGGAGTGTGTCACCTTTTGTGTGAGATGTCAATTTCACCTGTGCAGGCAGGTGACTGGAATGAGGAGGATGGTGGGGTGAGCGTGGGATTGAAAATATTTGTTGACTGAACATTTTTACTGCACACTTAAACACATAAGCTTTGAATGTCCGTCTAATTGGAAATTGTTGCGCTTGATGTCAAAGTGAAATGATAGAAGAAATGCAATAGACCTTAGTGTGCATCCCAGGTTTAACCTATGGTGGAAGCTAAGAGAGTTGTTTTTTAAAAACTGCCACAATAACTTTGAAACAATGAACAATGAGCCTTCTTACCTGGATGTCTACCTGTGACTGACGTATCTCTGTGTCTCTGCTCAGGACCTCCAGAGGCCCCAGCAATGGTCCGTCTGAGCGTGAGCAGCAGCACCACACTGACTGTCACCTTCCAGGAGCCACAGAGTCTCAACTCCACTGTGGTGACCAAGTACAGAGGTGAACACAAACAGGTTCACACAGGTCACAGACACACCCCTCAATACCTTTAATGTTCATATTAACACAGATGGTTCAATCAAACGTTCTGCTGACTAGTAATCCCCATCCACATGCAGACTGGGTTGTGGTGTTGTTTATTAGAACTTTATTCAGCTAAATATTTGTAAATCTTACAAACACAGATACCTTTTAGGTATCCCCTTAACCTTATTTCTCAGGCAGGTTTATTTCAATGATGAGGTAGAATTTATAACTGCTGTCTATAATAACGAACTCTCGATCTTAATGGCTTTAATTTAGATTTATTCATCATTTGGTAAGCTCGAATATGACAAAAATGTTAAATTAAGTTAATAAAATTTAAAGAAAAACTACAGTATGAAAAGTTTTAATTTCTTTTGAAACTAATAGACTATTCTCTATTCTAACTGATCTCTGCGATCTAGTTTTCCCCATCTGTGCAGCAAACAGCAGAAGGCCATACAAACCCTGAGTTCTAGAAAATACTGCAGCTTTTGAAACTTGTTGTCGATGTGAATTACCCATTTGACATGTTTTTGCTTTATGTCTAGGGACAGTGAGAAAGTCTCATAGGCTAAAACATGTGTGGTGCCGTGAGACATATCCGTTTATGTATTGGAGCTGATATTTGCCATCAGAGCGTATCGGAGACAGGAAGTGACAGTTAGTGCTCCACAGGCCAAAATGCTTATAAGGTTAATAATGATTCCATCACCTCAGGAGGAACTATTGATCTGTAATGAAAAGAGAAGCTGTTTGCTGCAGCGTGATTAACTGTGTGTGTGTGTGTGTGTGTGTGTGTGTGTGTGTGTGTGTGTGTGTGTGTGTGTGTGTGTGTGTGTGTGTGTGTGTGTGTGTGTGTGTGTGTGTGTGTGTGTGTGTGTGTGTGTGTGTGTGTGTGTGTGTGTGTGTGTGTGTGTGTGTGTGTGTGTGTGTGTGTGTGTGTGTGTGTGTGTGTGTGTGTGTGTGTGTGTGTGTGCGTGCGTGTGTGTGCGCGCATGCGTGTGTGTGTGTGCGTGCGTGTTCGCGTGTGCGTGCGTGTGTGTGTGTGTGCGTGCGTGCGTGTGTAGTCGAGTGGAGCTGCCTGAAGGATTTCTCTCTGCTTGCTGGTGAGATGGTGCTGGATAATCTGCAGAGCCTCAAGTGCACCATCAGCGGCCTCTCCACGGTAACGGCAGCATCCCCCTCCTCACACACTCATTCACATTATCTCTGTTTGCCTCCACTTTAATGGAGGTTGAAGTAATGGAGCGCAGAGGTGTAGTAAATGTTCTCCCAAAGAAAAAAATTCCAGTAACATCTGCTGCAGGCCACCCGTTTGCACTCGGTGTTTTACTGGATCAGGTGGACTCAGTTAGATTATGTACACACAAAAATCAGGTCTGGTTAAAGCCGACACTTAGTGATTAAAAGAACTATTTCATTAGGTTTTTCAAAATATGTTTTACTGTCAGATTCTGGTCTGGTTCTGATTGCTCACCATCCATCCATCACTTATGTGGTTTCACATGATGCACTACTAATGTTAAAACCCTTCTTTTCAAGTGTTGCAGGGTTTTTAATGTTTTATTTTTTCAGATAATTTACTTTCAGTCTGAATAAACTACAAAGCAATAATCACACATCTAACTAAACATTGCACCGAACGAGTCCAGCGAGCCAGTCTGAGATTCAAAATAAGATAATCTCACTAATCAAAATGATGTTTGTGATTCTGATCTGATTCTTCTTCTGTGGTTTAAACAGGTAACAGACCGTGACATATTCTAAAACCTTCCACTGCAGGTTCTGGATTCATTCTGCTGAACTTGGACCCAGTTCTGTTCTCTGATGATACTTGTGTTTCAGGGTCGGCTTTACTACGTCCGAGTGTCGGCATATAACATGAAGGGTTGGGGTCCGCCCACGTCCTCCCTCCCTCCATCTGCAGTTCCATCTAGTAAGTTCATGGTTCTGTTACGCAACCAGCACTCTGGTATTCATGTTTAAGGCTGAAAAAAAAATTTCAATTATTTCGACCCATATAATTGTAGAGGTTTAATCTTTGTTTTAAATTTGGCATCTTTCTTGAAACAGAATCTGTTACCAGGTTCTAATGTTAGTTTATTCTCAGTCCTGATCCCTGTTCAGGTGATACCTGGTTTCTCTCACACTGATTAGTTTTTGTTCTGAACCAGGTTTATGGGCTGAGTTATGCGTGAATGTGGAGCATCAGGCGTGCATTGTGTTCTGTTGTGAGGTCCTCAGGGTGGAACATCGGTTTCAGCTCTCCGTCACGACTCCTTTCTTTCAGTGTTCAGCCTTGAGCTGTGAGTGTTTCTGCATTGTGTGTGTGCGTGTGTGTGTGTGTGTGTGTGTGTGTGTGTGTGTGTGTTCGTCGGCAGCAGAGGACAGCGTGTGTGTGGGCGTGTGTTTTAAATAAGCAGAGTGAAAACACGACTCAGAGGTCTGAATTAATGAGTTCTCGGATTCCAGCAACATATTTTCCTCTCAGACGTGTCGATCGATTGTCTGTTCTCAGGTTGGGACCAAGGTCATGATCAGATCATTGGTGGATTTGTTCTCAAGGAAGTTCTGCTTTAAAATGTCCCTCAAGGCAGACATTAAATCCTCCAACAAAGAGGAACAAAAGGAGGTTGTTGGTTTTAACCTGTTGTTCCTTATTGTCTGTAACCAGTTGTTTTTCCTTAACAGACACAAGAAATAACGCTGCAACTGCTGTTGGTCTGTCTGAAGGAAATCGTTTAGATGTTTTGAAACTTCTTTTTTGTGGATTCATTTTTTTTACGTACTTTGATATCTGACTGAGTTTAAAGAGCAAGTCACCCCCCACCAGAGTCTTACTCCACCCACACCTCTGGTTTGATTTCCTGGCAGACCAAGAGGCATTGGCTGACAGCACACCCCTTTGCCAGCAGACACCCCTCACTAACAAGCAGACACACACACACACACACACACACACACACACACACACACACACACACACCATTCAGACAAACAACAGCAGGCTTCCTTGCCTGGAGAATTTATCCCCACCTCCTTCAACGGAGGACAGATGGAAGGGAGGAAAGTTTAATGGAGGAGCTGGGCGGTCTTCAGCTGTATCATTTTGTGTTGACTCGTGATTGGTCGTGCCAGCCAGAGGCATGGCTGAGACTCGCCTTCAGTGCAGTGCAGAGCAGCCACATCAGAAATACTGGCTAACGTAGGAAATCACCGCTTAGCCAATACAATAGAATAGCAACAGTTGATTCTAATTCTTATGCAGTGCAGACTTTTAACTTGAAGATGGTGTCACACTGACAGATTTAGGCATAATATTCATGTTTTAAAGTGACAATGTGTGGTTTGTACCATTAATCTCTGGAAATATCTATGAAAGTGTTGTTAAAAATAAATTAAATGATGCTCAGTTGAAAAATATTTTGCAGCAATATAACCTTGAAAATCACATATAAAATACATGGGAGTGGTTCTAAGTCTCTAAGTAACGCCATAGACACCCAGTTTCCTTCTACGGGAGCCCGTGAGGACAAAAGAAATTTACTGATTTGTAAAATCTGTTACAAATCTTTCACCATTTATGAACATTGTTGGTTTACACATTTACCTCATCACTAGTTGCCAGTGATGAAAGGGAGAGGTTGCACTCCCTGAGATTTTTTACCCTAATGGGCATCCGTTGATAAGGTCTTACTCGAACACAAAAATAATGCTTGCTTGCAACGATTTAGGTATGTGCTGCCCTCTATCCCCAGAAAAAATACACATTATCACTTTAAAGACATCCACTTTTTGGAGCTTTTGATACTTTTTGTTATTTCCTCATGTAAAACACCCTCAAAACGGTTTTGGCACCACACATGCATTTTTCTGTCTCAGTTGCTTCTTCCCTTCAGATCTAAGTTATTGCAAGGGCTTGATGGGGCATGGTTGTGTCATCATGCCCCGCTCCTCCCCATCCATACCCCTCCTATCCTAGAGTGTATACACTAATGCCAACCCTCTTGCTGTAGCTAGGAGTTAAACATCCACAGTTGTGAAGAAGCAATTTCTTTCTCACTTTAAATAATGACTAGAACCCAAAAATGCATTTTTGTCTGCAAGAGGGACAGGATCCCTGTCAATGCTGCCAACAGTAGTATTTTTCTCATATACTGTGCCTATTGTTGCTCTGGAATGTGTAAAGCAGCATGATACAGCCCTTTTAAAGAAGATGCACTGAAATACCAAAATAATGTCCACACATGTCGACAGCACTATTAGACACTCGTTTATATAGGTTGGCAGCAAACAAAAGTTGATTTGGGGTGACTTGCTATTTAAAATAAACATGATATCATTATTTCCTTGTTTTAAATAGCATGATTTATTCATTTGCATTTGTCACACACTGAGCCACATCAACAAAAATAAGTTGTAGTTCTCATTATTGTTCCAGACTGGAGAGAGAGTGACGGGCGTGAACCCAGGAGGCGGGGCCACATCGAGGCCATGGAGCGTCTGCTGCAGCAGGTCCGGGCCACGCACACTCACTACTGCTGTGGAGGTGAGCGGTTCTGGGCACACCTGAACAGAATTTATGTGCAGTCCTCCCTGGTTGTAGATGTTGGTTCTCTGTCAAATACTTAATTTTGAGGCCAGAACTAGGATTCGAAGGTCACATAACTTGTGTGTGTGTGTGTGTGTGTGTGTGTGTGTGTGTGTGTGTGTGTGTGTGTGTGTGTGCGTGCGTGTGTGCGTGCGTGCGTGCATGCGTGCGAGCGAGTGAGAGAGAGATCTTCATGGGAACCATTGATGGAGGGGAACCATTTTAAATGAGTGAGGGAACAATGGAGGGAGGGACTGGAGGACAGAAGCATGTCGAGAAGATAAAGGAAATGAAAGCGATAACGTTAAGCCAAAACTTGACTCACTGACCAAGTACAGGAGATGAAATTTAACGGAACATTCTCAGTTTCTCTGAGGTGAACTGATTCAGGATTCCACATTCGTGTCCAGTCAGAACCTGGCATTAAATCTAGCTTCCTGCTTCTTACATTTCTGCAGAAACATCAAAGCTGCAGAACCCCAGCAGGAAGCAGTCGGTCTCCAGAAGCCTCAAACATCTCTTCAACTCCTCCAACAAGTTTGTAAAGACGCTGAAAAGGTTTGTTTTGGGTTTGAGGAGTAAATCTGATCATTTGTTGTACCTGTTCCTTTGCATTGAATCAGCAGGTGTGTGTAAAACCCTGATGAAAGACTCTGAGAGGGGTTTGGTTCTGATTTGGTACCATGCTGTTGCAGGGGGATCTACCTGGCTGCTGTGTTCTACCATAGAGACAGTTTACTGGTGACGGCCGAGGATCAGATCCCTATTGTGGAGGTGGATGACTCCTACAGCAGCTCCCTTATGCAGGACTTCCTGTGGTTCACAAAGGTACCTACGTACTGCAGCTGCACGTTGTCTTCATATGGGTTCATCTCAAATACCCCAGAAAGAGTCAAACATTCACAATTCATGTTATAATTATCTCATTATTTTGTCTTATTTTTTATTTCATTTCCAATCAATCATGCACCAAAAAACCTTTTAAGAGAAATTATTCTCCCAAATACTGAGAGGGAGGCTGGGCCGCCTACTGAGTACCACTGCTCTAGAGTTGAAACTGCCGGATGCCTAAAAGTGGACATCTTTTTCTCAGCTCATTCCTGTTTCTGTACACCCCCCACCCCCTCACCCCGTCTCGCTGAAGTCCATCCTTTCCTTCATAATTAAGTTTGAAAAGAGAAAATAAGAAGAAAAAAAACCTGATGTTTGATTAAAGAGCAAGTCACCCACAAATCAACTTGTTTTGCTGCTAAACTATATAAATGAGTGTCTTAATCGTGCTCTAGAAATGTGTAGTCAATAATTAAACTAATAAACTTAGTAAGAATTTAAATATTCTGCCTAAAACTGTCAGTGTTACGCCCTCTTCAGGTAAAAACTCTGCACTGCATTTGACTTTAAATCTGCAATCGCTATTGGCTAAGAGTTACACTATGAAGTTAGCTGGTACATTACAATGTCTTTGTGTGTGTGTGTGTGTGTGTGTGTGTGTGTGTGTGTGTGTGTGTGTGTGTGTGTGTGTGTGTGTGTGTGTGTGTGTGTGTGTGTGTGTGTGTGTGTGTGTGTGTGTGTGTGTGTGTGTGTGTGTGTGTGTGTGTGTGCGTGTGTGTGTGTGTGTGTGTGCGTGTGCGTGTGCGTGCGTGCGTGCGTGCGTGCGTGTGTTAGCGGCTCCACCTATGTCTGCCAGACAACAGCATTTGTCGCATTTGTCAAACTGGAAGTAGGAGTGGAGTAAGACTCTGGTAGGGGTTGACTTGCTCTTTAAATCCACATGTGATCTAATTCAGTCGTTTAGGAATGAGCTCCTTGATTTGTTTTGGTCTCTCTACTTGGAGCAACCTGGTGTCTGCGTCTCCTCTTCCTTTTTGTTCCGTCTCACTATCGACCAATTTATGAAATCATATAAAGATCTGACCTGTGATTTGGACAAAGAGACATTTCCCTTCTCACACTTCAGAAAAATCAGTATTTTCCATTTCACAGCAGTAGAGCACTCAGGAAAATTATCAACAATTAAAGCTGTGAGTGACTGCGGATCTAATGCTTCTGTTGAGTGGGAAGAAACCGTCGTTTACAGCTTTACAGCTCTGCATGAAAGATGGAAAATTACCAGCTTTACTGAGCCTGCAGAGAACCACAGAAGTCAGATGAAAATCAGCAGCTTGATTTCTAAACGTTCCAACGAGATGAGAAGGGAAACGCTTTTGAACTGGTCACACCAATTTAGATCAAATCTGAGCATCTTCAATACTCTTGACCTCTGATTTTATTTTAGCTTTTTGTTTCTTTTTCCTCATGAAGTTCAGAGAAAATGCTTCCACACACAAATATTGACTTTCCACTCATTGTCAGATTGTTGTTTCACCTGAACACAACCTTGTTAACCTCTGTAAAGAATGGGTTGTTTACATCTTACTTATAAACCATAAAATGTGAAATTCCATAGAAATATGAAACATCAATCTGATGGATCTTTGACTGTTTTAACCACAAGATCAGAACTTTTTATTGCAGGGATTAAGCGACACTTCGTATTAACTCCAAGGAAAGAGAGAGAGAGTCGGGTTTAAAATAGTTAAGAAATTTATTTCTACACAATTTAAACAAGACTAACTTAAACACTCTATGTACTGATGGAACTAAGGTGGAGTGAGACGTGAAATTAATGATGATGGTGTGTGTGTGTGGAATGTTATTCAGAACCAGCGGATCCGGAGAAGCAGTTAGTTCTGGGTGGGAGTGAATGTTTCGCTCTAAACTTTAGTAGGAGGTTTATAACACACATGAAACGCCATCTGTCGGTCTACGTACCCCAGGGGAAGCCTCTGATCAGATCCAGAATGCCGAGGTCCTCGTGGACCCCCTTTGGTACCGAAGCCAGTAGAAAAGCAGCGGTGCCGACCAAACTAGTCTTGGAATGCTTCCAGGTCATGACAGGTTATCACTGGCGTCTCCGAGACCCTGAAGGGGTCGTGAGGTTCAGCTTTTATTCTGAAGGAACCGTTGCGGTCAGGTGTAACTTGCAACAGATTTTATCCAGCTTGTCTGAAGAGGGAGTCCGGATGGCCGGTCCGAGACTCCTCTAGAACGCTTGAACTAAAGAAAAGGTGGCGTGGAATAGTTTTTATAATTGTCATAGTTTTGTTTACTGGTGAATCAGAATTTGACATGCAAAAGAGTGTTTATACAAACACCACAGATAACCACACCCAGCCCCAGAAACAAAGGTTCTGATTGGGTCAGACAAAAGGAAATGTGTCGTGTGGCTTTTAACATTACGTGTCATTGGTGTCTAGTGCAAATGTCCAAGATTATAATAACTTGTAAAATACTACTGATGTCAGGATTATAATATCAAGTAATAACGTTGTCATTTCACAGATTGATTGAACATTGGGCTCACATTATTATTGGTAATTAACAAAGATGTTGATTATGTATTTATCATAATAGTTCTTCGTCCTCGTCTTGACAGAGGTGAAGCAGTTCAGATGAGCAGAGTGCATGAAAGACCTTGGCCACTATCTCGTTTATATTAGCCTGTCAGAGACCTTATGTCTCTGCTCGAGCAGACACAGCAGATCATGACCTTTAGGTCAAAAACAGGACATTCATGACGCTACACCTCATTAACATCATGATGCATTCCTGCAGCTGTCCTGCATGTGGGAGGACGTCCGGTGGCTCAGACAGAGCATGTCTGTCTCCATGTCATCATCATCCACCCTGCAGGCCCGACACAAGATGCTGACTGCTGCCGGACAACTGCAGGTGAGACGATCCTGACCCAAGTCACCAGGTGAACCAAAAACTGATTAGTCGGAACTGAAGAGTCATCCTACATACACAACTTTTCTGAAAAAGTAAAAAAATAAAATCTGTTTCATTGAAAGACTCCCTGAGAATACATAAATCATTTTTTCTACATCTGCAGAACCTCCTGGGGACTCATAACTTGGGCCGGGTCCACTATGAGCCCATCAAAGATCGCCATGGAAACGTGCTGCTGGTGACAATCCGTGACTTAGAGAGCCAGCACTCACTCTTCAGTGGGAAATGGATGCAGGTGACCAAACTGCAGAGCCAGAGGAAATCCCTCTCCACACCAGAGGAGCCGTACGCCCTCGACATCCTCATCATCACCATGCAGGTGAGTGGGCGGAGTCTTAAATCAGGAAGAGACGATGTCAGAATGACTCTGGAAATATTGCCAGTTGAAAAAGAAAGTTACAGAAACTAAATACAACAAAGGTTTGACTTCCTGGGTGAGTATGATTCTGACCCAAAAACTTTCAGTCGAATCCATCGGAGTCAAAAATGATCCCAGGTTGTTCATTAGAGGAAGTAGACGTTACACGGCTGTTTTTTATTGGTGCATTTCTGAATCAGTATTGGGATTTGTTCCTGAAACTAAAGTGGAGAAGCAACTGAAATTAAATGAGATGTATTATCTGCTGAAGTCATGTTCCTCCATCAGGACAACTGGAGGTGAGTGAAGATGTTTAAGTTTAGTGTGTTTAATGTTCCTGTTGTGTAAAACCAGGACCTGAGAATGGCATAACCACTAGCTTACTGGTCTTGGTTTTGCAGGACATCCTGGCGTACCAGCGCCGGAGCACACACCGCCTGGCTCCGGGACTCTACCTGGGTTACCTGAAGCTCAGCAGCTCTGTGGACCAGATCAAAGTCCTTGTGTCCCAACGGACCCCCAACATGCTCTGCCACACTCGCATTCGAGACAACGCAAATGTTTCCAGGTCAACACACACACACACACACACACACACACACACACACACACACACACACACAGATTGTTGATAAAACTGAAACAGGAGCACATAGTCAGAACTATGGCAGGTAGATTGGGTCAGTTCTAGTTTGAACCAAGTTTATCCTTCAATCACCATGGAGGTTTTTTTTTTTTATGATGATGACGACGACAATGATGTCTGATGCTTCTGATGCAGAACAGCTTTGACAAATCTTGTAATAAGATTTCAGAGAAGTGGCCCTGTTAGAGGCAGAGCTTCACCTCTTCCATTTTAATAAACCATCTAACTGTTAGGTTCACTCACACTAATAAGTTCATCACAGGGAAGAAACATAAACTTTAACAGTCTTGTCTTTGTTTGGTCTCAATGGCTCCTCGGTATCTGCCATTCTTGGTCACCACAGAAGGAAACGTTGGGTGTTTTACATTTCTTCATCCTCTCTCCAGCAGAGACATGACTCTTCTTCCTCAGCCTGATATCAAACATTACAGATATCAGGAGTGAGAACTGCTCACACCTATGAGACATTGCAGGTGTCATGTTACGTTGTCACCCAGCAACAGTCACGTCTTTGTTCCATGTCCAATCAGATTGCTTGTTGGCATCCATCTCAGGAATGTTTGGACCAAGCCACATTCTCACATCTAGCTGATTGGAAAGTGTGAATTGAAAACCAAGAAGGACCGAAAGAAGTTTTGGGGTCAGATGGAGGAAATGTTCTGGTCCAACAGCAGCAGGACAAATCCACCTGAAGGTTCTAACGTTTAGATTCAGCTGATTAAACAGGCTCCTGTTTGGTTCCTCAGGTCAATCACTGGTGTGAGGTCATAAAACGTCAAAGATTTCACCCTCTATAAAACCTGCAGATGGACAGCATTTCCCAGAATGCACCTGCGACAGGTAGTGTGTGTAATCTTTATGTGTGTGTTTGTCTGTGTTCAGGGAGGAGTGGGACTGGATCCAGACACTGGCAGCTGCAGGAGAAAAAGAGCGCAGTGACGGTGAGGAAGTCGAGTCTCGAGCAGAAAGCCATGCCCCGTTACTTTACTACGAGCTGCAGACGTCCATAAAGTCCCTGCTGAAGCACATCAACGTCCCTCTGCACCAGGTAAACACACACACACACACACACACACACAAGGCCGGATTATAATACGGGCAATCTGGGCACAGGGGCCCACAGCCACAAGGGGGCCCACGCAAGCAGCAGTCTTTTTTTTTTTGTGCCCAGGGCCCCCTGCAATGATAAGGCCCGGCACACACACACACACACACACACACACACACACAGGTACAAAAACATCAGCTGTGGGTTAGAACATGTTCTAGCATTTCTGGTTAAAGGTAAACTTCATGCTAAATTTCACTTTTATTCTTTCTATTTGTACAAAACCTGAGTCATCCTGATTCCCATCAGGTTTTTCCTTCCTCTATCTCACTGTAAATATTAGATTCAGCAGTACCCCTACATGTGACATTTATAACACCCGCCCATCAAGACGGATGGTTTCCATCCATCAATCGTCTGAACCCACTTTGTCCACGTGGGGTCGTGGGGGGGTGCTGGGCTGGGCTGGTGGCCATCTCCAGTAGTCAATGGCTAACCAGGCGGGGTACACCCTGGACAGAGAGCCAGTCCATCGCAGGGCAACACAGAGACACACAGGACAAACAATCATACACACACACCTAAGGACAATTTAGACAGACCGATCAACCTAACAGTCATGTTTTTGGACTGTGGGAGGAAGTCGGAGTACCCGGAGAGAACCCCCGCATGCACAGGGAGAACATGCAAACTCCATGCAGAAAGATCTGCGAACCCAGGACCTCCTTGCTGCAAGGCAACAGCTCTAACCACTGCGCCACTGCGCAGCCCAACGGATGGTTTCTGACCCACTTATTCCATTACCAGTGAATAAAGCTTGTCATTTTTCTTTAGTTGAAAAGATAAGTCACTATTGTCATAACTAATAAAAACAAAGTTTAAATAAAGATCTGGCTTTGAAATAAAAGCTGCACTGGAGCAAATAAAAAGACGCCTTCAGTAAAAAATTAAATTAGTAGTCGGTACTTAATTATGACCTCAGAAACGACAAAAACATTATCAAACTATTATAAGAAAATTTATTTGTTTTAAAAATCAAAGTCACCGTTTAGAAGATAAAACTCTTCACAAATGATTAAATGAATGAAGGTGAAATTTGGAATGAAAACAAGTTTGGCTTCAAATCACAAAATCACCTTGAACAGTAATTTTTTTAATTAATGAACAATTGTGAAAATTCCCAAGCTTGTCCAGTTTATTGAAGGTGGTTCTGTCAGAGACATTAAGCATCCAGCAACTACAGAGGTGAGGAGGAGGATGGGGGAATGTGACAGGATGAAGGTCAGCGACCCTCCTCTTCATGTGTTGTAGTTCTTACGTCAGACTGAAGCTTCCAGAGATGCAGTGTCAGACGTTTGATGGAGAGGTTATGCTCGTATTTTGGTTGTTGGCAGCTGACTCAAGTGTGTGTCTCTCTACAGGCCCGTCACTTCCGTCTCTACAGTCAGGAGGTGTTGGAACTCGGTCACGGCGTCTCCTTCCTGCTGGTGCTGCCGCCTGCTGATGACGTTTGCTCCGCCCCTGGGCAGTCCAACCCCTACACCCCTCTGTCAGGATTCCTTCACCTTCCTCTGCAGATGTTTGAGCTTGGTAACCGCACACAGTCACATTTCACCACGTTATTCACCTAATTAATGCCGGTGCGTTGAGTCGCAAGTTGAGATGAGTTTGAAGGTCAGACCAGAAAAACTCCTGATGGGTTTTCTCTCCAGAGAAGTTGCACAAAAAGGAGGAGCGGCAGCATCAATCTGTGATTGAACGTGAACAGCTGGAGGACAGATTTATGAAGAGAAATTAAACCTCCCATTTAAAAACAAGCTGTAATTTATGTTTCCTGTCAGAAGGAAACAGAATTACTTCATGTTTTCAGTTATCAGTCCTGCTTTTGAATAGTTAGTGTGATAGTTTTTAAATCAATCAAACTTTATTCCAAATAAAAAATGTCGATCATAAGACACCAAAGATAAAATAAGAAACAGAATAAGCAAAGACATGTTTTCTCAACTGAATGTTTCTGATTTCAGCTAATGAAACAAACAGGAAGTACCACAGTCTCAGTAAGAGAGCCCAACCTAGCCTACACAAAGCTGATAAATCATGAACACACACTCGTGAATTTAAACTGGGTGTGTGTGTGTGTGTGTGGCGTTGACCCCCCAGAAACCCTCCATCAGTGTGTTGCTGCATTATGCATTAACACATTCCTTAGTGTGTGTGTGTGTGTGTGTGTGTGTGTGTGTGTGTGTGTGTGTGTGTGTGTGTGTGTGTGTGTGTGTGTGTGTGTGTGTGTTCTTCTTGCTGGAGCCTGCAGACTGATTTAGTGCGTCTTTCTGAAGAAGTTGTTGCTGCAAACACAGCTCGGTCTGTCCTTGTGGGTCATGGCCATGAGTCAAACTGTGGATCTGCTCCAAACGCTGCTGAAGCTTGTGCTCAGAGCCCAAATCGCCTTCACTGATGAATTTTTCCCAGTCTCTCTGTAGCCCTAATAAGACCTCAAGAACCTTCAATTTTTTAACAGTGACTAAGTTTAAAATGTATTTTAAAAGGCAGAAATGGAAAAATAAATGGGCACACCAATTTTTTTCTCAGAGTACGAATACTTGCTAATATCAAGTACCAATACTAGTACTAATTAATGTCATCCACTCCTTAAAATCAAATTTTAAATGTTTTGTTTTCATGTTACATTAACACTATAGTCGTAGTTGTTCATAACTACCCTCTCACTCTATTTTACTGTCATAGAACCATAATGAATGCGTGGTGACTCTGTAACAAACAGCCTTTTACCTACATGTGGATTAAACACATAACTGTACAAATGTAAAACTATGGCTGAGCAACAGGCTTGGCTTGAACACGGCCTCATGCTGGTTTGTTTATATTACTGGTGTTGGAAGAGCTCAATGTTAAATGACCCGCACTCGTATATCATCACCCATTCACACACACATTCACACACTGCTGATGTGCTACATTATAGCCACAGCTGCCCTGGGGCACGTTGACAGAGGCGATGCTTCCAAGCACAGGTGTCATCAGTCCCTCCGTCCACCACCAGCAGGCAAGGTGGGAAAGTGTCTTGCCCAAGGACACAACAGTAGAATTCTCTGTCGGGAGCCGGGATCAAACCTGCAATCTTCCGATTACTGGACAACCCGCTCTAGCTCCTGAGCCACTTCTGCCCAATTACACACTCACACAGCATTGCCCCAACGATGTCACTGGCACTGGTGCATTCCTAAAAATATTCAATCTAGCCCCTAAGATTAAGGGCACAAGGCCAACATTCACTAAATAAAACATGTTGCAAGCAGATGTCTTCCTGTGAGGACACAGTGTCTCAGGAGTGCATGAGCTTGTTTAAATGTCAACAGGTTTACAGAACAAATCAGGTGGAGCTCTAATGAGAGGATTGGTTCTGACGTGGTATTGATCTATGAAGACAGCAGATTTACTAACAGGAGCAGTTTGTTTCTGTTTGATTGCAGCAAAGATGACTCATTTTGTTCTGTCCCCAATTTCTTTTCTTCTCATCCCTCAGTTCACTTCTGCACCTACAAAGAGAAGTTCATCAGTCTGTACTGCCGTCTGTCCTCTGTCCTGGACCTGGATGCTCTCATCACCCAGCAGGCAATGCGAGAGGCCATCACTGACGGCGAGGTGACCACAGCCAAGCAACGACACCAGCTCATCCTGGACTACATCCAGGTAAGAAAGTCCTTGCTGTCCAGCAGCAACTTTTTGTCTTCGTTGCCATGGAAACCATCTGAAGTACTGTGAGTTTCAATTTGGAAAAAAAATCTGGTTGTAACTTTGAAAAAACATGTCAGACTATCACATTTTAGAGAATGTTGTAGTAAAAATTATGTGGAGCTTCTTTGATGGCAGAAAAACACAAAAGGTTGAGATTTTGTTTCATTCAACAAGAAGAACTAAAACTGTAATCGTCACAGTGGTGGAGACGGATGTAAATCGGATCAGGTGCAGAAAGATGTTTAATACAGAAGGACAACCAGAGCCATGTTAGAGGCAGCAGCAAGGGAAGGCAGAGTAAAGTGTTTCTAACTTACAAAGAGCAGAGATGTGGGAGAGGTGCTCTTTGTTCTGTGGCTGAAACGTCTGAAGTAGGCACTGTTAATGGAGGCCCACCACAAGGGCGGCCACAGAGCGAGTCAAACCATATGTTGGGTTATTTTTAAACCTCAACCACAATCTGCCCAGAACAAGAGGAAAGTGATCTCAGTCAGTACTTGCTCCTGAAAGAGGTTCTATAGGGTCATCAGGTCTTCCATCAATAGTGTATTCTAGTAGAGATTCAGTAGCTAAAAATAGATTGCGACATAATGTTGCCATGCACTGAGGGATGTAGCCCTAGACAAGCAAGTGTGTGTGTTGCATGGGTGCCTACGGGTTTGAGTCACTCCACTCGTCTCAAAGTTGTATTTTCTTCACCTAAAGATGTTCACATGGGAAGGAACTGAGCACCACTGTTAGAGGAGGTGCTAATCGGACTCTGCATACCCAGGCCGGATGTCAAAGAGGACATTTTTATGCATTGCCCAAAGTTGGGTAATTGTGTTTGGTTGGACGTGTTTGTGTCTGAAGAGAAACCAGAATTATAGACATACATGTAAATACTTTTTAAGGGATGCACTAAGCTTAAATTCTACAAGGTGACTAAACTTTGATTCATAAATATGCAGTCTGATCCTGCCCTTTGTTCTGACACCTTCAGATGTTCTGTGATTCGCTCTTTGTCTCTGCAGCAGCTAGACGAGATGCGACGGGATCTCCGATGGATCACTGATGCACTGCAGTACGCCCGCTACAAGCAGCCCCGCGGAGGCGTTCCCATCACCTGTCTGGTGGACGCCAGCCAACCAACTCAAGAGAGTGACTCCGGACAGCAGAAGACTGACTCCACCTCCTCCAACATGGACTACCTGCCCACACCTTCTCCATCCCCAGAGCTCCGGCGGAGGAAAGCCATCAGCGGTGCGTATGACCTCCATCAGCACCAGTACCAGTTAGACACAGACTTTGACTCTGACCTTTATTCTCAGACTCTCAGCTTGGTTCTGATGAGGACGGCTCCTCCGAAGTCTTCCTGCCCACGGACAGCGACTACGACTCTAGCGACGCCATAAGCCCTCGAGAACTGGACCTGCTCTACTCCCCGGCCCCGGATTTTTCCCAGCAGGCTGTTCACTCTCTGGGTGGCAGTGCTCCCGATGTCCTGCAGGTCAACGAGCTCAGGTGGCCCATGTTAGTGCTGCTGTACCTAAATGTTCTACCTGTTGTGTGGTGCAATGTCATTACTTGTTCGGAGTAATGTGATTACTTTACGTTACTCATGTCTAACCCTAATCTGAGTGGAGTAATCTGATCATTTATATCTCTTTCCAGGTACAGCGTATGCACCCCACCAGATCCTCCCCTCCCCCTCTCTACTTCTCCTTCCACAGACCTCCCCATCCCCACCTTGCCCCGCCCCCCATCACGATCCCGAACCCTCCCCACATCCCCATCCCTCCCGCTGTCTCCCAGATTCTACAAGGACCTGCCGCTGTCCATCCCCTTGTCCCCAGCTCTGTCTGACACCACCAAGACTATGGAGGGTCTCTCCCTCTCCAAGGAGAGCCCCACCCCCCATAGGGCCCTTGCTAACCCCCCGGCCAAGCGGAAACTGCTCTCCAGGAGTCACCGGGGCCAGTACTTTAGCGGGCCACAGCGCTGGCTCCAGGGCCACAGCGGGGACAGTCTCAGTGGATCTTTATCTGAGGGCGTTTACACCAAACAGCTGGACGCTGACCTGTCATCTCCACAGGGCCACACCTACATCAGCCACGCCTCCTGTGTCCTGGAGAACCGCAAGGCCCGGCACCGTGAACCCAGACCACACGTTCGCAGAATATTTGTTGAGCCCTGCAGAGAGCTGTCACCAAACCATGAGGGGAGGGACTGGGAGGAGCAGGAGGGAGCAGAGAGACTGACAGCTGCAGGCATGTCGGTGGTTGTTGCACAGGCAGAGTCTGGAGGGGATGAGGAGGAGCTAGAGGGAGCCACGGCCCAGGAGGTTGACTCAGATGAGCAAACCAACTCGCAGCTGTCAGAGGTCCTCAGCAGCACGCTTTAGGGGGCAGATCAGCTCCCTAAATAAGACCTGATGTTTGTTCCATCTCTGAGAATTTCTGCTCTGCTGATGAAAACTTTAAAAGGGCATTAATGTCACAAAACGACAGCGTTGGTGGAACGTTTTTACCTCAAACCCTTCTGGATCTGTGGAGGAGCTGCTGAGTTGCAGCTTTGTGCCTCTGATGCTTCAGCATTGAGTTGAGGCTGAAATTTGGACTCCACAACAAAACTTCACCCAGCTGCTTTTATTGTGTGGAATCCTTCCATCAAACAGCTTATAGCACCTTTTTATCAATCCAAACCTCCATGAGTTGGTGTAATCACATCTTTAAAATCAAAATCTTTTTATCATACGTGTTTGCGTCTCTTATCCCTGAATTTTGACATAACCTACTTCCTCCCCAACCCTCCTTGGAAATCAGGGGCAAGCCAGTCTAAATTCCTAAACATAAGGTCCCCATGTTCAGGACTCACGAGGCTCAAAGCAATGGAATCAATGTCTTATGTGATCTACTAAAAGTAGATGTTTGTGTATTTAACTGTTTAATGAGGCACTTTTGGCTGAACTCAATCAGAACCCAGCATGGACGTAATTTTGGGGGGGGACAGGGGGGACATGTCCCCCCCCCCCCCCCCCCCCCACTTTTTCCAAAGTCAAGTTTTGACCCCTGCACTTTTTACCATCCAAAAACAATATTACGCTATATTAAATTGACACTGGTTGAGCTCTAGGACCAAGCAGAAAGCAACCGTTTGTGTTGAAGCAGGTTTCCCATTAGAACATATTGTAAAGACCCCCCCCCCCCCCCCCCCACCCCACTTCTAAAGTGAAAATTACGTCCTTGGAACCCAGAGACCACTTTGTGCAGATTAAAAAAGAACAAATATAAAAGAATTTTTCCTCCTGCTCTTGGTTGTAAAAGTGTCATTCTGATGAAACAATACTGATGTTTCTAAAACCGCACAGATTCAGAGACCAGTTACGAGTTTTAATTCAACCAAATGTCACCCAAACACCAGGAATTAGACAGAACATGCTGTCTGGTAGACAATTGTATTAATATTTGTGACATTTTTTTACATTATTTCCTTAATAGCATTGAAGCTGCTGTAACGTTGCATCTGATTGGCCCAGTCTCTTAACTCTTGTCTTTAGGACATTCATAAACCTTCCAAAGCAAACACCTCCCCCAGCTCTCCCATCTCTCTACAACAAGCCCTCCGAACACCACAGATTATTCTCGACAGTTGCTGGTTCAATTCCTCCAAGCCTCAGAACTAATGGCATTGACTGTTATAGAAATGTTTCAATGCAACAACAAACCAGCCACTGCTTCTCCTCCAGGAACTTTGCACACGTTGACCAGGAGACGGCAGAAACTTTGATAAAACTTTATTTTGTTAAACGAGTATTTTTGACGCCCGTCGTCAGCATGAACTGAATGTACATGTTGTTCTGTTGTTTTTAGTGATGATTCAGCCACTGATCTGAGCTGATGCTGTCAGGTTAAATTAAAGAGAAGTCTGGTTTACTTGACTCTTGAACCTGTGATCCTCCTCGATCCACCTCAGACCTCTTAAGTCTGAAACACACAAAGGTGTTGGGTTTTTTTTTTTTTACTCTGTGGTCTGAACTGTGTTCTGTTGGCATGTTGTGAATCGTAGCTTTTGTTCTATTGGAGTAAAGTTTTGTGTCCCGTTGGGTCCTCCTTGAGGTCTGGGGGTACTCTGGTCTGGACTAGTTTCTGGGGTTGTCTGTGTCATCTTTGATTATTGTTGTTTCTCAGAGGCTGGATGTGTTTTCGCTAACATGCACCAAAAAAATCTGCGTTTTCTTTGTGTTGTGGACAAGTGATGACGTGTTGGAACATGCACATGTCTTTAATGTGTCTGCACAGGATTTTCAAACTGCGTTTTTAATGTTTGCACATTGCAATTATGGAATAAAAGCTATTTGATTATTTGATGCACCAGGGCATTAACTGTGGCAGCTTCTGTGTAAAGGTCAGTAAAATGTTCCTGACACATTAAGTATCGGTGTGAGTTTGTTGTGCAAAATCTTCACAACCAGATGTGCACTAAATGTACTGACATGTTTCCACTGCGGCTGTCTTTAGAGTTTAAAATCTATTTAAGAGCATAAGCTCTAAAGCTCGTTAATTATTTGTATAATCTTTGTTCTTTAAATAAAATGACATTAATTTTCAACAATAATTCAAGAATTGTTTTCATGTGCAGGTATTCAGTTTAATTTATTTTCTGCTGTGATCAGAATGATAAATGACCCGCACTTGTACAGCGCCTCTCAGAGTAAAGACTCCAAAGCGCTTTACACTACAGTGTATCATTCATCCATTCACACACACATTCACACACTGATGGTGATGAGCTACGATGTAGCCACAGCTGTCCTGGAGCGCACTGACAGAGGCGAGGCTGCCGAGCACAGGCGCCACCGGTCCCTCCGACCACCACCAGCAGGGAAGGTGGGTCAAGTGTCTTGCCCGAGGACACAACAGCAGAATTCTCTGTCCAGAGCCGGGATTCGAACCTGCAACCTCCGGATTACTAGACAACCGGCTCAACCTATTGAGTTACTGCTGCCCAATGTTGTAAACAATGTAATGTTTGTAACACAATGAATGTTTGTAAACAGATTTTTAAGGATTAACTACAAAAATAAAGTAAACCTGCAATCAACACATGTCTTGCAAAAGCTCCGAAACCACCAAGCAGCATCAGGAGATACAGGGCTGCAGCCTTTATCACAAATGTTTTGTCTCTTCTGCTAAACATAATTATTACTGAGTCACCAAATCAATATAAGAATAATTTATTTCTGTTTTAGTTGGGATAGTTTGCTGAATGATGCTGTGTAAATCGAGTGAAAACTTATTTTTGCTATTTTTCTCTCAACCTTGTGTTGTTGGGTGAAAAAAAAGGTAAACCTACTTTTGTCAAGTTCAATTCAAAATTCAAAAATACTTTATTAATCCCAGAGGGAAATTAGAGTTTCAGGACACACAATTCTGAGATCAGACATGCATACATAGACACATGACAAGAATTGGTGACTGTGGTCATTCGCAACCCGAGTCGCGCTACCTTAATAGACCAAGAGGGTTTATATGAGGACAGAGTCTGGGGAAGGGGGAAAAAGGCACTTCAGAGTTACCCTCCACAGAGAGGATAGCTTTGCTATGCAAAAAAAAAAACACCTCAGGAATGTGACGGAAGGGATGACCGATGGAGGGGGACAAATGCCCTTGCTGGCAGTGGCGGTTCTACATCGAATTACTCCCCGGGCGAGGCCCCCTTTGAGCGCCCCCCCCCCCCCAACCGCCCCCCCACCACCACCACACCACCCCACCTGCATGAACACACGCATGTTTTCTACAAACCGGCATGTTTTATTAGAACGACTATTGAACATTCATTTTTCTAAGTTGCACATATTTACAATAATTACTATGAAGTTGTCAGAATGTAAAGCACTATACATTATATACTGTATCAAAATATATAGAATCAAATATACAAAAACAAACAATAACTAAATATTAAGAATATATGAACATAATAGATAATAAATATTCTAAATAGCAAAAATATTTCACACATAACAAACTAAAGATAATCACTACAGCATTGCACTTAGAATAGAAAACACAAACTAAAATTAAAACCTAATCTTGATGCAACGTCATCAATAATGTCATCACATGAAATCTGCTCCCCTACTGAGTGATTGATACTAATCAGAGCCAGGTGAGTGAGCCGCCCCTGAAACATAGGTGACCTCAGGTATGACTTGATCAAGTTTTGAAAAGCTCCTCTCAGCTTGAGCCACAGTGACTGGCAGAGCAGTCCAAAAGTTGGGGTAGATCTCCAATAGATCTTTATCATGATCCATAATATTTTAGAATTGCCTCTGAAATTGTAATTTAAACTGACATAACAAACTGTAGACTACCAAAAATGCCAACTTTTACAGAACAAATCATGTAAAAAAAAATCAGTGCAGCCATCTGCAATAAATAAACAGGATAGTTAGTGGTGACTGGGGTGTTTTCTTCTGCTTGTACAGTTGTTTTATTTATTATTATGTGAACATGATCAACATGTGTTTGTTGTTGTTCAGGCAGGCCACAGGCTGCAGTGAGCATTTAACAAATCCTAGTTTGAATCAGTAAAAAATGATTCAAGGACTTTTTTCGAACCATTTGAATATTCGTTTAAATATTTCAGCCCTATTAGCTCTGTTAGCAATTAGTTGACCGCATTTAACCGTTAAAATCCCAGTTAACTGGTTCAAAAAATTGAAAACATTCATCATGAGAGCTACATACCTTTATCTTTCTCCTCTTTTTTCTTTTTTCCCCCCTGAATGGGGCACCTGGTGGTTTTAGCCTTTTTATGTTCATCTCTTCTGTTTGGCTCCTGACTCAGTAAGTTTCCTTTAGTCAGGACTAAACAATTTGACCTTGATGGGGGGGTGACCACAAAATCGTTTTGTTTTTCCTTTTTTTATTCGGCCATTTCACACAATTCAGAGAAACCTGAAAGAATGATAGGCCTGTGTTTATGATATTATGAATGAAATATGGAAGAACGTTAAGATGTGATTGACTTTAGCCACGTTAATACAGTTGATTCAGCCCCTGCACGCTCATTTCATTTGGGAAAGACGCAGAGGTGAATTCCCCCGCCGCACCCCTCCCCTTCCTGTTCTTCATAGACACACGGTGCACGTGAACGTTCGTCAGCAGGAGCGCCTGCAGCTGCAGGGGGCGCCAACTTGCTGTTTCCAATCCAGACACTGTCATATGACAGATAGAATAGAAAACCTCGGTGCGGCGCAGATTTCCTTTTTTTTTTTTTTACTCCGCGCTTGTGCGCCCCTTTTGTGTCATGAAAAAATGCCGCCCCGGGCAACTGCCCTGTCTGCCCGTGCCTAAAACCGCTACTGCTTGCTGGGAGGAAAGGACTGAATGACTCAGGGGCTCAGAGGGGCTGAAGAGCTGCATTTGGGGTTTCTAGCATTAACTAAAGCTAAATGTTTTAGAGACAATATTTGTGGGTAAGCAGCGCATTTGTGGGCACATGATGGTTTCTTAGACCTTGTTGTTGACCATGAGTACCCATAATCTTCTCTGGACAAGGGATCTGCTCCTCTTGTACAACATGTGAAGGTGGAACGTGAGGTTCTGTGCAGTGGTGCTCCTGAAGATGCCTTCTTACTGAGGTTTTGGTGAGTCCTGTCTAGCTCCTTACTCTCACGACATGTGGATCCTGTCCCTCTAAACCCTGGACCAAAGTTACATGATCCAACTCATGAGATTTGGTACCTGTTGTCACAAAGAGCAGAGGTTTATTTCAGTAACAACTTTATTTCTTACATTTTGAACATGTTAGTGGGGGCATATTACTTCTTTTAGTTCTTTTGTCAATGCAAAACATGTTTATGTAGTTTTTTGCACAAAATTCCTCTCAGTGATTTCAGCAGTTCAATTCTTGACAGTTTCAGTACCTTCCAGAATGAACCATTTCAGGGCTCTGTCACTTTAGGAAACAATCTGGAGCTGGCCACGCCCACCCATCAACTACTCAGGCTGCTATAAGCTGAGAAGTTCTGACATCTGGGGGAGGTTTGGAGTAGAGCTGCTTCTCCAGCCTGGAGAGGAGAAGGTTGGTACTATTCAAATGTCCCTGTTTGTGACATCAAACACGGGTAGGTTTTGAAATGGCTTGTTTTAGCCACGTAATTTCCAAACCTAAACACTGACAGAAAATG